GACGTTATGGCAGGTGCCTGTGGTCCCAGCACTTGGGAGGCTGAGGCAGGAGAATCACTTAAGCCCAGGAGTTTGAGGTTGCTGTGAGCTGTGACGCTACAGCACTCTACTGAGGGCGACAGCTTGAGACTCTGTCTCAAAAAAATAAAAAAGAAAAGAAAAGAAGAAAAAATGAAAGAAAGGCTACTCAGTGGAATATGTAAGGAACAAAAAATAATGGAGAAGTGAGACAAAATGTCAATGTCCTTCATTGATTCCTGGCCTTGCTTCAACCTGTTTCCTATAGAAGACTCTAAGAGCAAAGTTTTGTTAAGATCCCCAAGCTGGTTGTGTGGATACCTGGGTTCTAGTTCTAGTACTAGTTCTGTTACTCAGTAATTGACTTTGGCAGTTCACCTAATCTTTCTAGTCTTCAGGTTTCTTCTCTCTAAAATGAAGTCCTGCTCTGATATTCTATGGTTCCCCGAGTTGAAACTGGTACTCTTAGAGGCCACATATCACCTAGGTACAGATTTGAATAGTGATTCATGAATGGGAGCAGAATTAGAAGAACAAGGTCAAGTCCTGGGGCTGGAAGACTTACACAAAGGAGGAAAAAATAATTTTCTAAGACTGGTTTGATAGGAGAGAGTCTCCAAAATAGGGTGTTCAGGCACTTGGGCTCTGTTCTGAGGCCCAATGTTTTGGGACATCCTTGTAAGACTCTTGAATACGGGGATCAGGGAAATAATTCCATCTTCTTGGAGGCCCAAAGCTCACCCTAACCCAGAGTCCCTATGCCCCAGAGATAGGAGCTAAAGTTCAGAAAGGAGATAAGACAGGATGTTGGCAAGGGAGATTAGATTTCAACCCCAAGCCAATCTCACTCCTCTATAAGACTGAGGAGTTAAGAAATTTAAGAGCGGGCTCGGCACCCATAGCACAGTGGTTATGGCGCCAGCCACATAAACTGGAGCTGCCAGATTTTGAATCTGGCCTGGGCCAACGAAACAACAATGACAACTGCAACAAAAAAATAGCTGGGCATTGTGGCGGGCACCTGTAGTCCCAGCTATTTGGGAGGCTGAGGCAAAAGAATCGCTTAAGCCCAAGAGTTTGAGATTGCTGTGAGCTGTGATGCTACAGCACTCTACTGAGGATGACATAGTGAGACTCTGTCTCAAAAAAGAAAAAAAGAAAAAGAAAAAGAAATTTAAGGGCGGTGCCGGCCCCATATACCAAGCGTAGCAGGTTCAAACTCAGCCCCCGCCACACTGCAACAAAAAAATAGCCAGGTGTTGTGGCGGGCACCTGTAGTCCCAGCTACTTGGGAGACTGAGGCAAGAGAATCGCCTAAGCCCAGGAGTTGGAGGTTGCTGTGAGCAGTGTGACACCACAGCACTCTACTGAGAATGATAAAGTGAGACTCTGTCTATACCCCCAGGACAGGAGTTCAAGTTCAACCTGGGCAACAGAGGGAAACTGTCCTTACAAAAGAAGAAAAAAATCAGCCAAGTGTGGTGGTATGTACCTATAGTCCTAGCTATTTGGGAAGCTGAACCAGGAGGATCACATGAGCTTAGCAGGTGCAGGTTGCAGTGAACTGTGATCACACCACTGCATTCCAGCCTGGGTAACAGAAAGACCCTGTTAAAAA